TGTCTGACGCTTAGTTTGGCCAGGGCCCTATTTCACGAAATGTTTTCGTGAGAAGATTTCATGAAATTTTCTTGCTGAGTACATTTGGTGAAACAAATGTATTCTTATGTAAAAATAAAGAAAATTTCAAAAAAAATTGAAAATATTCTCAAAATTTTGACATTTGATTCAGCGCCAATTTTGAATTTTGAGAATTTCTCACAAAAATACGACACCATAAATTAGTTGGCTCAAAAGAAAATGAGAATTTTTTCAAATGATTAGAAAAAAAATCTTATCAAAGTTCATTTTCGTTTTTATAGACCCCCGAAATATCAAAATAGTTTTATTTTCAACATAAAACAAAATTATCGTGATAATACTAAAATGTCCTCTTGAAAATTGTTTTTTTTATTTCAAAATCTGAGAAAAACGCAAACGCTGTAAAATATTCATTTATTCGAATAAGAACGAAAAAAAAAATTGAAAATATTCTCAAAATTCATTGTGCATAGTCAATGTGTCAATGGTCACACTAAGAGTTTAAGACTTGCTGTATAAAAATATTCTACGGCTTTAATAAAATGAAGAATGGAAATGAGTTTCAAAGTTGTTAAAGTTTCAGTAAAATTCAATTTTTAAATCAATATATTTGTTAATGAAAAAGTATTTAAACGTGAGATTTTTTAGTGAAACAGAAATTTTGAGATTTTCTCGAAAATGCAAAAATGAAAATATTTTCATGTGAAAACATTTCGTGAAATAGGGCCCAGGTAGCAAAAAATTTGAGACCCATTTAGTGAGAAAAAACAATGAAAAAATAATTTTTTCTAAATTTTGAAATTATATACGCTAACACACTCACGGTAAGTATGTTAGTCTAACTTATTGATATGCTACCGCATGTTACGAACGGTTCTATATAAGTATTTTGCTTTAGAATCTTTATTCTAGGAAATTATTATGTGTGTGGTTTTGGCTTTTTTAGTGCATTGTGCAAACATAGAATGAATAATTGATTCTTCTTTTTTTTCATATACCTGTTTTGATCCGGGGATTCGGAACCAAAAATCGTGACGGTGTCCGGAGAATATACGGGGAAAGTGTTGCGAACCAATTCAGAAATGATGTCGGCGAGATTCATTTCAGGGGCTACGAAAAAATGTTTTAGATTAACCAGTTGATAAAAAAGAGAGAGATCGAGGGAAAATAGATCAAATACGGCACAAATCACACCGCGAAAAAATGGTATTTATAAATCTTCTTAATAACGAACTGAATTGTTCTACAAGCGGTAGCCAATTGAGACAATGAATTGATTTTTTGGATTAAAGCAAGAAGTTTCTCGTCGCCGATTTGAATGTTAAATGAGTTTGAGAGAAAGTTATCGTCACCGGTCATACGGAAATCGCCATTTATTCCTTTGTGCATAGCGAATGAATGGCCACCGCCACACATACAACATCAGAGAGAAATTTTCGTTTAGATTTCATTGTGATGTGTGTTTGACGTTGACTCGTTTCGATTCATTATTCTCTTATTTCGGTGCCACGTTTCATTCCACATTCACAATATGTGGTTGTATAGTATGGCAATGCAATGGACAAAACTCCGTTGTCCATCCCAAAGCCATATATTCATTTCATGGCAGTGTTTTCTGATGCCATCGTTTTTAAAAATCATTTAATGAATCATTATTATATAGTATAAATGTATATGTGTCGGGCGGGCGCTCAATGCTGATTAAATCTATCTATTTTAGCAGGAGGACATAGCTTCAACTCCAACCACCGGCAATGGCAATCTTTCGGTGTATCCTCATTGTGTACTATTGGGTGTATAACTTTTGCTTCCGCCGTTTTTTACCGCTGGAGCCATCTGTTGGAAAACGGCGGAAGCAAAGTTATACGTCCAATATATATCACGCACAATTAAAAGAGCACTTGCTGTGATTTATCGGTAAGCAAGCAAGTGCGCTCACAGTTCAATGAAACGATTTACATCTTTATTATGAAAATCCAATGGCCCGGAATGATATTCCATAAGTACAACAATACGAATATGAAACTTCCAGTACTCACCCAATTTATTGAATCTGTTTAAACTGGAGCTTGATCCACGTAAGCTAGTAACCTATCGAAATCAAAAATTCAATAATTAAAATTGAAATGGGATCAAAGCTTGGGTTGTATTACCTGACTTTTTACACAGAAATATACAATATTTCCCCAGTCGCCTGAGAATGGTCCAAGTAAACGGTTCCCATACACTTTGACTCCATGAGGTTCACTGCGTGCACTGCTCGAACCAGTCAGCGACGTCTTGCTAGAGCGGCTGGCAACAACGGCGGCACAACTTGCGCTTGCCCTTGCACAACGCCTTGTTGGAATGCGGCATTGGCAACGTTTTGCACGGCGTTTTGTGCGACTGCAACGTTCTGCGCCGCTTGACGATTCGCCTACAAGTTGTTAAGGGCTGTGACGAAACTCTGGCGCACCGAGTTGATCCGGTTCTTCATGTTATTTTTGATTTGGCTGGTGTAGCCGTCAGTTTGGCCTGCCGTCAACGAACCCTCCACTACGCCAATCTGCCGTAAAGCCAGAACAATCTAGTCGCGCGTCATACTACCATTAAATGGTATATCACCCGAAACGAACAATGCACGCAGCTCTCGGAGTACGTCAATGTTTGGAATGACAGCATTGGCGGCAATGTTGAAGGTGTTGGTGGCTGTAGTGTGCGCTGGCCCAAGCAAGGCCGAAGCCGCTGCTAAATCCGCCAACGTCGGATTGTTGATGTTAACTTGTTGTTGCTGTGGTTGAGCCATCTGAATAAGAAAAAGAACAAACGTAAGTTAGTGAACTGTTGGAAAAACCATGAGCTCCGCCTTGGATTTAAAACCTAACCAACCTGATATGCATTATGCTTAGCCGAGTTTACGGGATGTGTAAGTCGAATATTTCTACCAGCACTCGTTCCGCTCAATATTTGAGTCTAAAAATGAAATATTTTCATTTTGTTCAGTTAAACCGGAAAAAGGAGGTGTCAGAGTCAAGAATAAAAAATCTAATCGAGACACATTTGCCAGTAGATTTGAGGGGATTGGCTGTCAGTGCATACGAAGCATGCAAACATATTCGTAAGTACATGGATCATTTGAACGTCATTTTAAGTTTTGTTGTTGCTTATTGGAACATTTCGATGTTCTTTCATCCATTTGTTTCATGTGTGTTCCTTCCGCTTTTTAGAAGAAGCCTATAAAGATCCCTGTGATAGAATCTACTATTCCACGAAGTGCATATATAATTTCATTCCTGAACACTTGATGTTTCTATGAGGATCATCTGTTATCTACGAAAAAGAGTGGAGAGTTGACGAGAGTCTTCTCACGCAAATCCATTTCTAAATCAGTTTCAATAAATGGATGGCAGAAGTTTTTATCTTGTTTATGAATAAAAAACACATTTTTTCAAGAAAAATTATAACAGACATAAAGTTTGAATGCTTTTTTTCATTTATTGGAACGTACCGAATATTACTTTCTCTAAAAAAATGTATCCACTTTGACTGCGTATGTGCATCAAAAGCAGAAAGAACGAATTGATACTATTTTCCCGTACATTTGCTTGCCCTCCCCCACTATACTCCCATTTGGAGAGGTCATTGCTCCGAAAACGGTGTCTGTGTTTCGGAACAAGGAAGCAGCAACGGTGTCCGCACTATTTCCCGAAAACGATTTCCCGAAACAACTTTTTCCCGAAAAAATTATCCAGAACTTTTTTATTCCCGAAAGACAAATTTCCCGAATACCAAAATCCCGAATCGAACAATTTGATTTCCCGAAAATCCCGAAAATTCTTTATTGAATTATTTCTATCTATTTCGAAATGAAAAATGGTATGGTTAACAAGGGTGAGGAGTTTGACAGGAATGAGTGCGCGCGCGAGTACACCATACTGTAGACTGTACAAACTATTTTAAACTGCTTGAAGATACGATACTGAAATGTAAAAATGGTGCGATCAACAAAGGTAGGTAGTTCCACAGGACCGAACGAGCGCGCGCGCGAGAAACTTTTTTCAACCGTGTGTGGCTTGAGTGGAATATAATCAACTTTACGGCGACACGAGCTATAGCTACACACTAGCCAATACACATGTTTTTGCAATGGTTACTCGATGCATTTGTCAAAATACTTTGATTTTCGTATTCTCTATGATGTGTGTACAGAGAAGCTGCCAGTGTAGTACTCATTCAAAGCCACTTTCATCAAAATTAGATGTTAATGAAAAAACCATCGACGGGACCTCCCACTCTATACCTCACCCAATCTTTGATATGAAACTCGGTTAACGAAAATCAAGCATTCACTCTACATGGGCAGAAACCATCTAAATCGCTTCAAAATTCCTAAAAATATCAATTAAGATTATACACAATATTACGCAGTTATTTCAGTACATGATGATTTGGCAATCTTTGATAGCAATTGTTGGCTGACTTTGTGATTGTTTGTTTATTTTCAATATGTAGGAAATTGTTTGTAGTTTGTACAACAATTGGATGTCTAATGATGGCTTTCGAATAAATTGGAGATTTCAAGACATTAATTAAAACCTAATATCCGCCCACAAGTAAAACTGCACTTCATTCAACACACTCATCAACACTCTGTGAAACGGCTACGACATCGGCATGACTTGTCATCACTTTTGTTCCCACGTGCACAGCAATTAGTGCACTAAATGCGCCAGTTTGTTGGATAGGTGTTGCTTTTGTTCATATTCGGACGGCGCACGCAACAAACTGGCCTATAAAATGAAAGATGTAAAGTTTGAGCTCGCTCAAATCGATGATAGAATTTTCACAGTGATCGCCACTTTCGGCACCTTTTCAAAACTAGTTGACAAGATTTCTCAGCGTTTCAATACAGAAGAAATAGTTGTATCCAGTTCATAATTTCTCAAGATAAACATCTAAACCGGCAAAATGCTAACACAAATCTATAGTATCATATCGTTTATTGTGATTTCGAACCATTTCGATTTGACACATGGAGCGGTAAGAAGTTTTTTGAGTGTTTTTCTTGTTCATTACTCTTAAGCTGTTGATTAACTGAGTTTAACCAGAGAAAAAAAAATAATTTCCATCACAAAATAAAAAGATGACAATGAAGCAAATCGAACAGTCGTTGGCGATGTTTCGGAAATCGTGCGTAGAAAAAACTGGAGTTGATTCAGCTCTAATCGATGGAATGCATAAAGGAAATTTTCCAGATGATGACAAGCAATTAAAGGTAGCCTCCATTTATTATTCACTCAATTTACGATTTGAAAACTACTTTTATGGTATCAATGTTACCCTTTTTCCTGTAGTGCTTCGCGCTCTGCATAGCCGAAACTGCTGGAACAGTAAGTCAATTTTCTCCATCTCTGGATGTTGAAAATAAAATTGTAGCATTTTTTCAGTTAACCAAGAAAAAGGAGTTGTCGGAGCCAAAAGTAAGAAAACAAATTGAAACCCAATTGCCAGCCAATTTGAGAGAACTGGCGCTGGGTGCATTAGAAAAGTGCAAAGATGTTCGTAAGTACTCGAGTGCATCTACACTGTCCATTTCGATCAATTTTATTACTTTTATGTTTTTTTCTTCTTCAGAAAAAGGTTATAAAGATCCCTGTGATAGAATGTACTATTCCACAAAGTGCATGTATGAGTTCAGCCCCAATAACTTTTTATATCCATGAAAGATAACTGATATCAACAAAAGAGAGTACAACATTTTAGCGGTCAATTCATTCATTGTATTTTTAGATAATTATTTTGTTTCAAAGGGTAGTTTAAACTTAAATTGATCAAAGATATTCTTTTCGCACAAATCCATTTCTGTCCGTTTCGGGAAATGTACGGCAAAAGTTTTCTTTCTATCAATGAAGAAATAAACATCGTTTTTTCCTAAATAAAAATTATATTTTTTTCCTATTATTATTGAAAGTTTTGTGTTTATTTGAGCAAATCGAAAAAGCTTGACGTAAATATTGATATTGGATTTCCTATCAAACTTTGCATGCTTAGACAAACCAAATAAACTAAATTTGCCCACATTTTTATATGGAGTATTCAACAAATTGAGTTACATATCACCCCAAAACTCAAATCGATTGAATCAAGTCCGTTTTTGATTTATTGAAGTCGAGGAAGAAAGATATTCAAAAAAAAAATCGATAGCTTTGCGGTTCAACGCGATTGTTTGTAAGGCGATTTGAAGCAATTTTATGTCCTCAGAACAATTCCAAATGTTGAACTCTCCTAAATTGAACTATATATTTCTTTAATTGCCACCAAGAAAGTATTGTATTGAACGCCTTCAGCCCAGGACGTTTTTAAGCTCACAGTGTACTTGACATTGTAAGTGGAGTAAAACATATTCATGAATCACATATATGTTTTCAAAATTATAAGAAAAAAGATATTTATTCTGGTGTGGTCGCTTTTTTTGCCAATACATTTACGATTTTTACTTACTCTGATGCGGTACACCTCTGTGAAATTTAACTCTATTTAATAAAACACCTGTTTTCTTCTGAATAAATATTTACGATAAAAATAATTCCGTAATAATATCTAAGCTAAATATTTTCTGTGTTTAAAGTCACGTGATTATGACAACATATGATTTCTTGTAATTTTCTTTCATCATATTTTTTTTTCATTCGTCAAACATACTCCGATTTTGATCAAACATATTCCGAATTTGGTCGAGTGAAATCAATTGTACCTAGAAAAACAAACAAAATTAGCAAAATAAATGAAAAATTATAATATAAAAATGGGACACGGAATTCTCGATACAAAACTAATTCTTTATTTTTTCTTAATGGTATTTTTGAAGTACTACGCACTTAATGAATTTTCATTTGTGTACTTCAATTCGAATTCATATGTTTTCTTTGTAAAATATGAAACTAATGAAAATGGTGAATTGGCTTCACTGACGTTCAAAATTCCCGGGTTGTTGGTTAAAAATGCACTAGACTCCATATGAAATATTGAACTACTGAATACAAGTTAAGTAGAAAAAACTGTAAACTGTTGAAAAACGGATGTTATCCCAAACAATCAATTGATTCGATGACAGTGCAAAATAATAGTTGTTGAAAAATCATTCCGTTCACGCCTTAAAATATCAACGATTCGTTATGATCATTTTTCTATATATCCGTATTTGGTAGGAAGGAAGTGTATGATGTGAAGGTCTGGCAGAATCTTGCGGACTCGATACAAGACAAAATTGACGGAAAAGAAGAAACAAACGTTGTAAATGTATATTAATCATCAAATCAAGGCGAATCGTGATCAGTAAAATGTATGCCGTATCCACTGGATTTTGGCACCATATATATAAAAGAACTGCGGGAGCTCGAGTGATTTTACATCGACGGTTGAACTATCTGTTACAGTCCGAAATATTGTAACCAGTGCAGAATTTGATATTCCATGTAGAAAACGACATTTGCAATATTGAAAAAATCAGTAAAGTGTAATACGCCGACATTCAATTCTGAAAACATCACAAAATGTTGCCACATCAACTATCTGTATTGTGTTTCATAGTAATCTTGAATCGAGCATATGCAGCGGTAGGTACTCATCCAAATATTATCTCATTGTGAATGATTTTCTTACGTATAATGCAATTGAAAGCATTTACTTAGGAAAATGAAAAGGAATTGAATGAAAAAAAAATCAATTTTTTTAATTGAAAAAGATGACGATGAAGCAAGTTGAACAGTCTTTGGCTATGTTTCGCAAATCGTGTTCCGAAAAAGTTGGAGTTGATATAGGTAATATATAACCAAAACCAATTTATCGTTGATTTTGAATATTTCCATTTTTTTTGTATATTCAAGCTTTAATAGAAGGGTTACATCGCGGCGAATGGCCAGATAATGACAAAAATTTAAAAGTAAATCATTTTTTATTTTCAATTCCAACAATTTCTGAATTAAAAAAATCCTCTTTTTTTCATTTAAAGTGTTTCAGTATGTGCGTTGCACAGTCTTTTGGAACTGTAAGTTTAAAATAACGCGTATAACAACTGAAATCAATATGATAGTAATGAAAATCCAAAAAAATAATCTCCTAGCTAACCAAAAAGAATGATATTTCGGAGGCAAAAGTGAGGAAGCAAATTGAGACTACGTTGCCAGTAAATTTGCGTGCATTTGCACTTGGTGCGCTGGATGCATGCAAAGATGTTCGTAAGTAATCAAATAAAAAGATTTATCAATCTTTTAATGATCATTTTGTGAAAACAATTCTCATGTTTTGTTCTCTTTCTTTCAGAAAAAAATTACAAAGATCCCTGTGATAAATCATATTATTCCACCAAATGCATGTATGATTTTAGCCCAAAAGATTTTCTTTATCCATAAAACCAAATCTTATAAGATAGATTTGTGTACAAATTTATTATGTAAATTTGTCGAATGTTTTCGTTTCTTCAAACACACCAGACATATTGACTTTCTATTAAACAAATAAAACAGCGTCTTATTGCGTTAAACTATACAATTTTTTATTATATAATTTCTTTTTATTCTGTGGTGAAACTACTTGTTGTAACAAAAATCGGTATTATTCAGCTGGATCCAGGGAATGGATCAACTCTATTCTTTCTCAGAACGAATTGAATTTTTCGTGACATGTCTTCGTTGTAAAATGCCTTACAACGTTCATAATTGATGCGTCGTCGAACTTGGCATGGCTTCTCATAAAATTCCATGCGTCGATATTGATCCAAAATTCCTTCACGGCTCAACATTCGATTCAATATACCGACCGCTTGATCCACATTGTTGTCCTTCACCAGAACCGTGCGTGCAATGAATTTGGCGTGTCTCATCTTGGATTAGCTGAAAATGATGAAAAAGAATGAAAATCTTACATATTTGATTTAAATCAGTCGATCATCAGTTTGTGTATTCATTGGAAATTCTTCCATTCACTTTGTTTTCCATCCGCTGTGTCGGGGTTTGATAAACAAATGCAGGTTAAGCGATTTGTAAATCAGCCACAAAATTGCCGACTTCTTGAAAACACAAAACCTGACTTGAATTATGGCTAAACAAATGCACTCTGATCGATCAATGAACTCAGCGCAATAAAATCCTGCAATTCATCGCCTGTTTATAGAAACATTTCACAGACGAATCCGTATTTTTCCTGAAAAAAAAAATTGAACTTACAATTTGTTGAAACTTTTTCTCACACACCACCGAATCGCAGCACATATGAATTTTGACATTGTCTGCTCGATATGTCAAAGTCGTGCTCACGTGTCACACTCACGCATCGGCATCATGTGACAATTCAGCCAATTCAGCAGTTGAATGTAGCGGAATTTCAATTTGAGCATTCGTTTTGTTTGGTTTTGGATGGAATTTGTTGCTTTTTTTCATTTCTTTTCGATTTCATAAAATAAAGAAATTAAAATTCAAATCATTTCAATGAAAAATTGATTTTCTTTGATAAAAAAAAACTCATCAAAGAGCGAGAATTGAAACTCATATTCCATGTATCACATTCAAATGATGACGCTTCGCGTTTGTATGTATCAACACGCGCCAATATCACTGATACACACTATCAGTTGGTGGCGTTACAAATGTATGCGTGCGCTCGCTGGCTGCCACTTGATATGCTGACAGCCCTGCAATTTTGACAAGTGATAAATGTCTGTGCTGATTGTTTCAATAAAGATGGCTGACGGTGAGAAAGAGGAGGCTAAAAACCTCGTAAGTAAAATCAAATTTTTTGCAATTTTCCACAAAAATTCGCCAATTGGATTGGTGTCAGGTCGTCCGGTGCACAAGCAATTAACAACCGAATTCGAAAATTATTGTGGTTTCATTCAGTGTGACTGGGAATTTGTTGAAAAATTCTGACTCATTCGAAATCGATTAGACGTTTTTCCTGGCCTAGCATTGAAGTTTGTATTATTTTTTTTTTTCTGTTGATTTTGTGCGTGTGTGTTTGTGCATGTGAGTGTTTGTTATATCGACCACTAAACTATAGTCAGATTCATTCAACCGAATTTTTTTTTATCTATCTCTCGCCTTAAAAACAAAATTCTAAACGACGAGTGCAGCCGCAGAAGCAAAAAAAAAAAAGAAAGAAAAAAAAGAGCTGTGATAAAACAAATGCAAAAGAAAAAATGAAATGAAAATGCCAATGAGTACACACGAGATGTGTACATCTGACATTTCCTCTGTGTTATCGTATATATCGTGTGTGTGCTTCTTTTTTGTGTATACAATCCAAGATACACATGCATGATTCGCAGGCAAAACATATAAAGACAAAAAGCAGAAGAATGAGAAAGAAGAGAAAAAAACCCTGCAAAATATTTATCAAAATGACAAATTGGTTTAAAGTGGTTATGTGGATCTGTGGAAACGCAACGGCGACAATAACAACAACAACAAAACACTTTGTTTGCCACAAAATGCTTGCGATGGCAAATGCTAATTTATCGCGTTTCTGAGAAACAATAACAAAAAATTAGCGTGATGTTGTCTTGCAATCCAATGTCACATTGTCGGACTGAAACTCAATTTTTTTTTTCATTAAGTCATTTACTCGGCCGAACTAGTTTCAAGTGAGACGATTGTTTTTTTTTCTTTCTCCGCTTCGTTGTTTCGTTGCCAGACTGAGAATAACTGTTGTTGAATGAAGCGTGTAAAAAAACACGATTGAAACAAGCAAAGCGAAGAATTTGCATAGAATGTTGAAACGAAACTATGCAGCAATGCAGAATGAGAATGTAGATCAATGTAAATTCGTTGCAACAATGAAGCGAGGAGAACAACAACAACAAATCGAAACAATTGCAATGTTCAAGTCAATTGGAACTAATTAGCGTCTGTTGAAAAATGGATTGATTTCCGTATTATATCTAATTGATTGGTTATTGTTGTTTTTTTTTTCTTTCTCTGTATAGCAAATAGAATTTGAGTGGGTACTACATGTTGAGGTACACTCAGTTCTTAAGAATCTCCACACACTTCTTGTGGTAAGTATACGTGAATTCAAATCAAATTGTTGAACAATTCCTCATTGAAATCGCAACGAAATGTTAATGATTCGGATGGTCATCACTCTGTCTCTTCTTCGTAGGAATGTGCACATCGCTTTCCAGTGCCATTGTATGGCAACGATGGACGAAAACAGGACAAGTTCATATTGACAGTTCCACAAGATCATCTGAAGTGTGTGGTAACGTTGACGGGTGATAGTATATCCCATGCTGTGAGTATTCAATGCCATATAAATGGCTCATTTATACAATTGTCCTTTCTCAATACGCCGAGTTTTTCATTGAATTTTTTTTTCGCTAATTTCCGGTTCCACATCACAATGCAGGACATTAGTTTTAAGGTACAAAGAGCGCAAAACGCTGTTCAACGAACGTCCATCAATCAAGACTCACCATGGAAACTTCAACAAGTGCAGGACGCCGCGAATCATTTACAGCAAGCCATACATCACATTGACAATGTAGACAGCTCGTACCATTTCAAGTGAGTTTCCATTCTTTTTGCTCAATCTCGCTCTATCTCTCTTGCTCAATTGCATACTCTTTGTGTACTCAATTTGATCATTTTTTTTTTAAATTGATATCACTTTTTGTTCATTGCTTATTCAACAGATCATCCGATGAAGTCTTACACATTTTGAGCAATATTTTAGGCGCATTGCAGCGAGGTCGAACGGCGCTAGTCATTCCCAAGAAGAAACCGATCGACGAGCTCATGAAAAGTAGAAATATGGTATACTTGCAAAACATTCTCACACACACACACACACACTTATACTCGCTTCTACTGCATCAGTTCGATCACATCGTAATGATAACCACGTTCATTTGTCCCTCTCTGTCTCTCTTTCTGACACACAGAAATCACTGGCACCAAACCTTCCAGACGATTTAGCAATCAGTTTTTATTTACAAAGCCATAAATTGATTTTTGCTGTATATCAATTGACAAACATTCAGGGAACTATGAAATTTGATTCCTGCCAAGCTGAATGCTCCGTTCCATGGCTGAACGAGGTTCTAGTATTGTTTACAGTGGCGCTGCAATTGTGTCAGCAATTAAAAGACAAAGTAAGTGCATATTTGGTCCATTTGTTGTTTGCATTTGGCTCACGCATACACACACACACACACACAACAACAACAAGTACAAAAACGCAAGGGAACAATATTTTATAATCACGAAATCGTAAACATCACATTTAATTCAAACAATATTCTTGATTTCATCAAAACTATTTGCAATTGAGTACGAGCATAGCGAGTGAACGATGTGAAAAACTGGGTCGCATTCGCTCTTTTGCTCAATCTTTCTTTCTCTCTCGTTCTCTCCCTTTCTAGCGCTCTCTCACTCTTACAAACGTTCTATGGGGACTTTGCTACTGTTATCAGAGCGAGATTATTAAAATGAGTGAAGAGAAGAGAAAAATAAATAGACCAAAATAGAAAAGTTTTGATTGCGTTGGCAAATATTAATTAATAATTATTAATATTTGAGCAAAATTTGATTAAAATGGAATGTGTTGAGGCGTTGAATGATTCGTAGATATGGTTAAAACGCCATTGGCCATTCTAAATTAACAAAGCAAAACAAAATATTTGGATTTCAACACAAATGTTGCGAGAATAATTGATTTTTCTTTCCCATGAAAAACCCTTTTATTATTGACAAAGGACAACTTGCAAACTACTTTCCACTGACATTATCAATTTTATTTTTTCAGATATCGGTATTTTCTCAGTATAAAGACTTTACAGTAGGATCTCGATCGCCGTCAGCCCTATCTTACTAAAAAAAAAATGAAAACAACAACAACAACAAATGAAACGTGAAAACGAAACCAAGAGCATGCACACAGAATTGTGGCGGTGTAGTGATAATATAATGCTAATCTAGATATCTTATGATTTATATACACTTTTTGTTGTCCTTCGTTTCCGTTTCGGTTTCAAATTTTTTTTATCTTTGTTTTGGTTAATATCATCAAAACAATTTCGATATCGTTCGAAAACCGATCCAGCTGATCTATAAATCGCATGCATCGAAGGAAACAGTAAGATCATCTAAGGAAAAAAAAACAAACAAATTTATGGTATTGAACAATAAAAGAAAAATGGAAAAAATATCGTACACATATAGGTTAAGAGAAAAACGGAAAATGAAGAAAACAAAAAATATTGAAAAATCTCAACAACAACAACAACAAAAAGAAACATGATGTGCTCGAAACGAAAAACCAATGGATTTGATAGTGATCTGAATATTTCTATAGAAGAACAAACTTCGAGGAAATAATTAGCAGAAAAAAAAACAATGGAAATAGTCAAGTGGGCGTCGATGATTAGATTAGCACAAATTTACCATAGCTGATTTTAAGTGCTCCCCCTGTGCTAATCTATGATCGACGACTTCGGTTTGACATTTGACATATTTTTTTTTTCGGATTTGCCTTCAATTTTCTTTTGTTGAAACAACCACTGCAATGAGAAACGTTGTCAACACGGCATATCGCCAGCTTATTTAGATAATCATGCTAAGAATACAAATAATTTCACACACGTCTACATTTAGAAAAAAACAAATGAAATCCACTCAGCATATTTATGCAAATCGCATCGCATACTTAATCATTCATTTTGCAAAAAACAGCAAACAAATATGTAAACCAATTGTACATAACTTCTTTTTTGATGCAAATCAACTATAACAACAACAACAAAACAACACTTATGATTTTATTAATTTAATTATTATTTATTGACCAAACTATTGTACATATAAAAAACAAATCAAGTTATTGTCTTCTTTTTTCTTATTATTATAAAAATAATTCTTGTTTCTATGAACTACTTATTTTTTTAAATGATTACTTAAGCAATTTTTATTTTTGATCAAAAAAATTCGATTAAATGAAACCCATATTAAATTTCAAAAGGAAACCTGGAATTATGCTCGTGTATTATGTATAATAATATGTTGATTGAAGGGATGAACACATTTTTTATTGTTCCCAGAGCTGTTATAGTCACCTCAAAAGTGCTGGTACGGCGACAGTACTTCACCCAAGAATCAATTAAATTGATTTTGGTGGAACGGTTATTTGGATTTGAAAAAAATTAAAAAAAAATTAAAAATGAAGTACGATAGAGATTCTGTCGGTGACATTCAACGTATTCGCACGAATGCCAGCTAGTAGGTAAACTACACACGCTTATAATCCCATAGAAAATCTGTGTCAAGACATTCTGCAGTGCCGTCGATTTATATGACAAAATTCAGTACTAATCGGTGTTATTATGCAGTATTTCGCAATTTGTCGAAATCACTTCCAGCTATTTACAGGTGATTTCGTCGTCATTAATCGACGGCGCTGTAGAGAGTCCACTTCTTTGATTATAATCGTGTGGTAAACTAAGACAGCAGTTGGGACTAGCATGACAGCAGTTAGTGCGAGATGGAAAAAATTTGACAACGCCAAAAATTTACGAAAATCTCAATGGTCCTTAAAAAATTTGTGAAATGAATTTCATGACATTTCTCATCTGAAAAAATTTGAAACTCTTCAGGTACGGCACTTGGATCATGCCCACACTTCTGAGGTGCCTATAAAATCTCTGCTTTTTCTTACTGTACCATGTACGTACAAAATTTCAACACGAGAGATACACAAAACCATCGATGAATATGGATGTGTGTGTACGATAGCAAGATAAACGTAGACGATGAGAACAAGATGCCCTCTGCAATGATGATAAATATTCAGAACAATCTTTCTCCACATCACTGGCTAGAGAAATCACATGTGCAGAAGCCCAGACCGTTTATTCATATTATTTCTCTATTGAAAACCAAACAAATTGCCGTCTATCGATCACACATTTCAGTGTTTATTTATTTGTTTTTTGATTGTTTTTGGTTTATTTCCATAAAATGAATAAATTTTGGCCAAACCGGTGGAACAACGGTATCTATGCAAAATGTGAAGCATCTCTTTTTTTCGTTCACATCACATCAATTCTGCATAACAATTGTGCGCGCCGCATAAACAACTTGTTCACCGCTTGGAATGGTTTTTCAAATGTCAATATTCATGGAAATTGACTCGAATCCGGGCATTTGTTCCGTTTGGGCTTGTTTTTTTTCTCGTTTCCAAATCTAAATATTGAAATATTTTCCAAGTAATGTACTTATGAGATAATGAAATGGAGCGGCCCATACAACCAAAACTCTATGTTTACATACGCATCATTCAAATCAGCATTCGCATCTTTTATTACACGCAAAATTCAATGCATGAGATAATTTTTTTTTTTCATTTTTTCTACTACAATTTGGGTTTTTTCCATTGGAATATTTGAGTTTTTTTTTTTTGAAATAAATGAAGCGAACGATGAAAATTAATTAAGTATTTATTACTTGCAAGTTTTCGATTTCACAACATCTCTATGTCTCTGTAAATCGATAACTTTTCATTAGAGAAATGGAAAAATTTATTTTAATGAACATTATCAAGGCAATGGGCCATCGATATGATACACTCAATGTGCTGTGTTGCAAAATCAAAAACTTGTATTTAATCAATAATAAAAAATTAATACGTAAAATTCATCTGAAAATCAACATCATACAAAGCGTTCGCTGTGTGTGTGTTTGTGTGTATTACATACATACCCATCTACACACAACTCATAATCCTCGACCGAATAAACGGAAAATGCGGTAGATCGAACATTTAAATTTACCATATTTCGATTTATCAAATTGCATCGATTGAGGAATACAACAACAAAATGACAACACCAAAGCACAAAAATATCACATTGATGTGCGCTTTAATTATTTAATGGCGGAAAATGTTTAGCTGCTAAAATCCAAAACTAAAAATTATATTCAATTAAAAAAAAAGAAACAGAAAAAAAATACGGCTGTCATACCGATGAAACAAAACACATCCATTGGATTGTATCAATATTTTTTATTCTGTTGGTAACAAATGAAAATTAAATATCATTTTGCTATATACACCATTTGCAAATATATTACTGCTATTTTTGTTTTTCGTCAGTGAGTTTGTCTGTCAGTTATGTTAAATCTGCCCGTAAAACTTCAATAAAAAAAAAAACAATAATGTCAAATTAATCTAGTGTCTATTAAATTTCGTACATATACACATTAAATTGTAAATGTTTCGTTCTTCGTATTCACATTGTCACTAACATAAATGTTATTGTTGCGTGCAAAGTGCTCTTATTCAACCACAAACAGAAAAACTAAACAAAAAACATTGATCTTATTTATAAATTACACAGATATATTTAAAAAAAAAAACCTAAAATTCTAGACAAATTAGTGGTAATTAAATTTTCTTCGACTTTACCGTATTATATTTATTGCATTGATTTTTCATTTCAAATTCATTTCTCTATGAGTAAATACTCAGCGCTTTTCTTCTAGATCTGTATTTTCTTCTCTCCTTAGAATCTAGACAAGGAAACGAAACAAAAGTGTAGCCGCTTTATGTGTCGACATTTGAAAAATGTGACGAAAATTAATATATTGAACGGTTGACCATATGAATGCGTGAGAGCAAAAGAGCAACTTTGATTCGCAGTATTTTAAAGTGTAACATCTCCATACAAACGTATACGTGTAAAATACTGCGAATCTAAGTTGCACTTTTGCGCTCACGCATTCATATATGCAAGCAGGGTTTTTCACCAAAATCAATCGAATCATTCCACAACCTAAGAAATAGAAAATGCTTAGTTACAACAAACTAATTGAAATCACTCAGTCTCAGTTCCAATTGAAAATCGAACTGCCACATTTGCTTCGGCAAAATTGGTTGAATTTAATGTCGATCAATTGGCGAACTAGTAAAAATTATGCATCACTAGAATTGTTTACATTTTTTTTTGGTTCTTTCATTCTATGTTTTGACACACAAAATTTAGCGTACAAATGAACGTCGAAACACTTTAAAGCGTTGCACTATGTCTGCACATGTAAAAAATTAAATCAGAGACTTTTTTTCGTTTTTGAATTGGACTTATAAGCAATAGTATGTTTTTGAACAAAAAAAAATCAAACTCATTTTCCGAACAAAAGATGCGCTCGCGCAAAATGCGCATCATTTATTTAAAACGAAGAAAAAATGAAACACAAAAACGGCACAAACATTGTTGAGACAAAGCGCAATGAAAATAACCAGTGCGAAAATATATAAGAAGATAAACAATATAAATATAAAGAAAAACCTTTATGATGACAATAAGAAACATGTTAATGGAGGATTAAATAGTATTATTATTATTGACTTGATACATATATGAAATAGTCCATAGATTAGAATGTCCGCATTTGAAGAGAAAACACATACACAAACCATTATTTCAATTTGAACCAATAAAAAACTTAAAAATAAATAACTTGTTATTTTCCATATTATGTCAACAACAACAACAACAAATCGAGTCTTATTTGAACTTCTGTATTTCGAAAATTGTTGTATCTTTAACGAAAGAAAAATAAAGAAAAAAATCTGAAAAAAATGACAAAACAACAAATGACGGAAGAATGTTTTTTTCTCTATTGTAATTTTGGCATTTCGTTCGAAATGGCAAATAAGATTGTTGCAACAGTTATGCATGTGAGATTCTTTTGGCGAATGTTTCTTTCTTTCTTTTTTAGCACTACATAAAATGTAGAGCTACTAATCTGGTTTTTTTTCCTAATACTTTTTTAAGCTATCAACAGAATTAAATTGACTTTCGATTCTATGCTCATATTATTTTTTCAATTTAAACCAGAGGAGAGTATCTTTCAAAAAAGAAATTAAACCAAGAACTTGTAATTCATTGTTGAGATAACTGAGAAAATCTTTTTTCTGTACCTACTTTGTTGCAAATATATATCCTTCGTACTATGCTTTTAATCCATAGTGTTATTAAATTATGTTACTTCGATACATTTCATGTAGTGCGCAAAAAACTAGTTTGTTGTGAAACAACAAAATAGAATGAGTAACTAAAATCTGAAGAACGCATCGCTCCACTCTGCCGTCTTGTTACCTCCATTCCTCTCTCTCTCTCTCTCTCTCTCTCTCTCGCTATTTTTCATTCTCGCTCTAGCTCTTTCAAAACCAACATTTTCTTTCTCTTTTTTATTGCGCCATTCACTTGTTTTTCCTTCTGTCTTGTTTGTTTCAGTACTATTTCGCTGCATTTTTGTCAACTAAAAACCGACATTTCGGTTGTTAAGTAGACAAAAATGCAACGGTAACAACAACCATTGCAATGTCGATCCCATTTAAATAATGGCTTACTTCTAGTGGCATTCATTCTCTTTTTTCTTTCGCGTTGAAACAGCGTTCAATTGCTTCATTTGATCATTAACCGATTCAACAAAAGAATTGTGTGCATTGTTTGGATAAGTAAAAATGTAAACATTAAACGTTTTGTGCATCATTTGATTAATGAATGAATGAAGCAATAATGTTTCATATCAATCATAAGTAACCAGTTTTCTTTCCCCATTCATCCAGTACAGTTACAATATTTGTTGAACGCGAGTTCACGTTTGAATACATCACAGCTTAAGAAGCATGCACAAATCCGCACAAAGAAAAAAAAACAGCAATAACACCACACGAGACAAAGAGAGAAAAAAACCAGCAAAAATTAAGAAATCCGACAACATGAACGAAAACACTATTTTGTATGGTGCTACGCGTGAATGAGTCAAATAACCGAACGAACATTAAAAAAAACCACCATATCTAACAATATATTGCAACATATGAAATAACATTCATCGCAACAAGTCTCAGTCTATAGCCTCACACTTATTGTGTGAATGCCTTGGAATTACCTTTCGCTTTCAGCCAAAGACTGTTTGCCCTCCACCGAAACATCTCATTCAATCGTACACACCGTTGAAACTAGCGAAATGTTTACGAATGAAGGCGAGCGCGCGAGAGCGCACGTCAACAGAAACCAATGTTTGCAAGAAATAAACTAGTGGCTAAAATACTCCAAGTTAAAAACCAGTTGATCGCGATCAATAGGCAACAACGAACAAGAAACCAAAGACAAAGAAAAACGAGCTCACATCACCATCAACAGCTTGTCTCATATTCTGATTCGAAACGATTGCTCAGTATAATTCGCTGCGTCACACGTGCCCAACCAGAAACCCAAAGAAAGTTAGTAGTGAAGAGAGAAAAACGCCGATCTGTTGTTAAGACACGAAAAAAAACACACGAAATAAGCAGGTGAATTATCTTAAATCAACAAGTGACAATAACATTTCAATATGACGTGAATTCAATGTGTGAATGTTTTTTCAAATAACAAAGTGCAGCACGAATTCCAGCACAACATTGGTTCATTTTGTTTGAAAGAAAAATTGCATTTTGCAATTGAACATTTATTACTTTTTTTCCGAGGATTTTTTTTTCACGAAAGAACCTTTAACATCTTTGTTGGGGTATAAAGATATTTTAAGACATGCTCGAGCATAAAATTGGTTGAACAGTGAGAAAGAAAATACGATAATCTAGTGAATTTGAATTTCAGAATGTTTCAATTGGATTTTATCTTGTTTTAAATTAAAAATTATTTTTTCTTTTTCAAATTATTATTCTCATCTTTGGGATTCATAGTCAAGGGCATATAGTAGACAACATTCGGTTGTTCCTTTACTCCCTTTGCCACATGTAGCAAGAACAGTATTTATGCCGGATTTTGAGTGGATTTCACAGTGCATTAATATGTCCACATGTTTGAATGGAGCGAACAATTGTTAGATCAAGTGGAATGGTTTGTTGCAAAAATATGCGAGCTGTAAACAGTGGTTCAACGAAATTGATTGAAACTGTAATGATGTGAACCATAATCGAATTGGTGTGGCCCATTAAAACAACTCTCTCTTAATTTTGCTGCTTCGCAGTACAATAACAGCTTAACTACCATAAAATGGAATTTTGTTGCTAGTTTATTTCACACTTTTCCCGATTTATACGTATATAATAAATTCGCAATGAGATGGATTGACGAGATTTTAAATATGATGTTAATGCGAATACAACCAGATTTTAATATCGGCTTTTATTGTACTGGGCATTGTTACGTTTTTCCTCCATATCGGCAATAAATAATCGGTGATGAAATCGTGCGTCAAAAAAATGTAATTCGCTAGAATTTCATCATTGATTCGTGGAAAACGGTTTGAAAAGAGGGTGTTGCACAATAATTACGCGATGTACACAGCGTGTACACGAAAATACCAAAAATGTTCATTAGAACGATAAAATAAACGAAATGAGTACAAATGCGCGATTGACGCAACATGCTCGAGCCCATACACAACAACCGACCGACCAACTGATCAAAAAGCCGTCCAATTGCGAATTAAATGGCAAACGTGAATTAAGCAAAACACCCAAAACAGCATACGTGCGCGCTGCTTCTCGCTCTCTGCATGCACGCGGCTAACGGCTACCGATGTGCATCGACCAAAGTAACCAATTCTCTTTTTTTTCCATTTTGTTTTTGTTGTCGTCGTCGTCGTCGTCGTTGTTGTTGTTGTTGTTGTTGCAATCAATTATTATTTGCTTAAACCATTGAGCCAATCGATTTGACCTGAGATTTAATACAGCAATAACGGAAGAAACAACAACAACACAAATTGCCACGACTGATTTCTCGACATTTTATTAAAATTGATGATTGATTTCAATTGGGCAAAAATATGCGTCGTTTTTATAATGCATCAGTTTTGATTATTCATTCACATTGAAAAACGAACCGAGAGATGAGACACACACACCAGTAAAACACCTTAATCGCAATCATTTGGAATAACATTGAAATTATGCCATTGGAATTTGTGCGTGTGTGTGTGTCGCAGATGATGATTATTCGCACCATGCTAATTGCCATTTGTTGGAGCACAGCTGAAGATTGTCATTCGAGCGCGCAGAGTGCCACTGTGTGTGTGCGATGAGTGCCGTTGCAAATGTGTCTCTTAGCCTTGCTAATAAAAAAATTTCGTTCTTTGAATTGGGAGATAACAGAGACAAGAAAAGCCATCACCTTTTGGATTATTATCACAAGGCTTCACCTTGCGCATTTGATACTAATAAATTTTATAAATTAAAATTTGACCGCGGCTTTTCGTTCGATGCTAAACGATGTAAATGACGGAATAAGAAGTCAACAAATGTTAATTCATTTTTCTACATTTCGTAAACCACATAAACTTAAAACACTGTGGTTAATTGATCAAAATCAAATGATTTCTCCGAATAATTTGCTCATTATCTCTTCGCCTATTTCAGACAAAAAAATGGCCAGAAACGGAGACGTAGTACTCATTACAGGTAAGAATATACATTACACATCGACTTAGGCCTCCAAATAAAATGTCGAAGAATTGCGAATTGTGATGATTTCGAGTTTAGTTCAGGGTTGATTAATGACTTCTTTTTTTTTATACCTTTTGATTAGGTGGTAGTGGCTTCCTTGGCCAGCATCTCGTCAAGCATTTACAGGAAAATGACGACGATGTCAAAGAAATCCGAATTGTCGACCTAAAACCATACAGAAACAACTTAAGTACGTATTCACAATTTATTACACTTGAAAGTTTATCATGTTGATTTGCCATTTGCAAAGTAAAAGAAAACGACAATGACGGCAAAGTAGAAGAAAAGGTCAAGATGTTAGTCAACTTCTGTGCTCGTTCTGTCTCTTGCACGCTCCTGCCCATGATTCAATATCAAACTGGAGTAATTAAAGTTGAATAAAGTCACTTTTATTACTTTAATCTTCTTCTTTTTTTTCTGTGTCTCTTACATTCACTACCATTGATATTATGAGCAATTGCATTTGTTGAGAAGCCGAATGAAAGAAGAATCGTCTTTTTTTGTATTCTTCAAGCCAATAAATTCACTTTTTTTCCCTACTTTTTGTTGTGTTTTGTTTAAAGAGCACGCTGAAACGAAGCCTATTAAATCCATTGTTGCTGATATTTGTGACACGGATGCTGTCGGGGAAGCATTCGATAATGTTGATGTGGTGTTCCATTGTGCGGCCTACATCAATTTTCAATTTCCACCTAACATCAATGAACTCGAGCGCGTCAACGTGAACGGTAAGTGCGACCGGAGCTATTTATTCATTGCAATAGTTACAGATGTTTGTCAAAGTACTTTAACATTTAACATAACAATAATGAGGTCGACGCAGACCAAGAAAAAAAAAACAAGCTAAGAAAATGGACAAGAACAAGAATGAACCGAGTGTTATAGAAAACTCTTAAATGATATTAGGAAAAGGAAAAAAAGAGAAGAACGAACGAACGAAAGATAGACCATCGCAAGAGATTGACCAAACAAAACTTATATCAAAACTCCATTTGCTTTCATTAAAGGTACAAAAAATGTTATAAACTTGTGCATCAAACACAATGTGCCAAGGTTAATTTATACGAGCAGCGCATCTGTTACATTGACATCATACTTGGGATTGGCACCGTTTGCTGTTATTGTAAATCTAACGGAGAGCAAAACGAAGCAAGTGACATCCGACAACGATATTCTGATACCCGGATATTCGGTGACCAAACATCGTGCCGAAAAGATTGTGCTAGGCGCCAATGGAACGAACTTAGCAAATGGCACAGGTACTTGAATATAAAGCCACCGGCTTTTTTTTTCTTCTCATTCTCTCTCTCTCTTCCTCTCGTTGTTCGTATTGAAATGCCATTAGAAAGTCCGGAGAAATTTCAAGGTTGCTCTTGAAACCGGTTTATTCAAAAATCATCCGGCATATACAACAGTGAGCACAACTACCATTTGGTTTGACATTTTGCTATTAATTTAGTTTGAGTAACTTAAAAGTATGTTACTTAACAAGTAAAGCCGCTGAGCTTCACGTCAAGTCAACTGTTAAGTAGAATTACCACTCATATTGAACCAAGTAGTTAGTACCATAATGATTTCTACAAAACTCAATAGATGTCGTTAGGGTCTTGCATGGGCCCCACGTCAAAAATTCATGAAAACTAAAAGAAAGCCCGATTTTATGACCGCAGGTGAACTCCTTACCACATCGATTCGACCGACTGTATTGTATGGCGAAGAAGATCCATACTTTTTCCCAACATTGGCCAAATTCACAAAGAAAACCGGAGGCATTATACCAAAAGTGCTGGGAGCTGGTGGAAAACATCAAATGACCTACGTCGGTTAGTGAACTTGTACATTTTCAATTTTGCTTTCAATTTTTGTTCGCTTCCATTTTGCCACATACTTTTTTTTTCCCTATTTTCATCGTATACGAAAAATTTCATCTGGAAAACAAAAAATCTCGTTTCTAAACTAGGTAACGTTGCCTGGGCACACATCCGAGCAAAACAAACGTTAAAAAATTCATCAAAGAACATTGCTGGTTTGCCGGTATTCGTAACGGATGACACTCCCATCGAAGACACTTCACGCTTTTGCCAACGTATGTCTCGTCGCACTGATGCCTTCAACATTCGCCCAACATCGTGGTCAATTCCATCGTTGATCGGCTATTGGCTGGCTATTCTATTAGAATTGATAATTTCAACGTTGAATCCGATTTTTGGCACCAAGCTCAATTTTCAACCAAGAGCATTAGCAGCATATGCTGGCTCATTATTACAATACAGCCGATTACGGGCTGAACTACACATGGATTATGAACCAATTTACAATGAAGAACGTTCACTGGACGACAGTGTAAAATGGTATTCAGCATGGTATAAATCCTATTTCAACAAGGATAAACAATCCAAAAAAGCCGAATAATTCATCGCTCTTGACTATAGTATACATGCAATTTAAGGGCTTTTTTTGTGTGTTAATAACATGCACGGACATACACTACAAAAACGTACGCACGCAACATACATACATTCATAAATTTTACCTTTAAACATTGGTGTTGAACACTTCTTCTACTTTCTTGTTCTGTTTTTTTAGTCTTAGGACAATTTTTTATTGGGTTTGATCCAATTTGAAATTATATATATTTTATTAAGGGCATCTATCGCCCACATTTTAATAATGTATTTTGTATATACTTTTTGTATATACATTTTATATTGCAGAAAGAAAAAAATGCGAATAAATTTATGAGAGAGAAATCAATCACTAACTCATTGTGGTTTTTCATATTTGACTCGAAACTTCGAAGCGGTTTCCGTTCGTGAGAATCAATATTTACATTTTTCAATTAAAATAGATCATAAATTATTCAAAGTCCAACAATTTCACTAAATATGTTGAGACTATTGCACTTATCGACTAGGGGCATTTCTCACGAAAAGAATGAATGAATTCTTATAAATTTGAAAAATTTCTTCCATTCGGTCCGATTCGATCAATTTTTATCAATTCGTGTAAATAAATGATCATTTACACTGAACTTGTGTTCTGGAAGTGGGTTTTGGTGGATCTCAAGGATTGTTCAGAACTGCTCCCGGTTCTGGAAGTGGATCTTCAGGATGGGCCAGGGCATTGTCAAACCGGATCTGGTCCATCCTGAGGATCCACCAAAACCCACTTCCAGAACACTTTCATTCAAGCAATATCGTCATTTCAGTACATTTTCTTACAATTTCAATAAAAAAGAAGAAATAATAGACATTTTTGCACATTTGCTCAAATTGTTTGTGTGAGAAATGCCCCTAGCTTATCGAATAATTGGATAGATTGAGATGCCACACAATTTACTCGAAGATTACTTCAACGAAACCTCAAATATGTACAAAGGCAATGGGAATTCGGTTTGAAATGTTGCAACCCCATCCAGAGATTCCAGAAAATGGTTTTCATTTATTTTGAATGTTGCATGAATTATGTATGCATTTCTTATAAATTTGAAATAAATGAGAATGGGATTGCAACTCTTGTTCAAATCATCGATTCTAATTTGGCCAACATTTTTTTTCTTCATTCGGTTCAAACGTGATAGAAATTGAAATGTTGCTTCAAATGCAGAATAGATTCATTATTTTCGCTTGGGTAATTGAAACATATTGCAGTGGGTATTCAAAGCATATTCTGTCGGTAAAAACCAGGTTGTTTTTTTTTCATTCATAGGAGAAAAAATAATCCATGATCGGCTCAAAATTAATAATCCGCAATCGTATACGTGATTTGAATTTCAGCCAAAGCAGATCACACTAAATGTTATTTGTAACACGAAAAAAATGTGCTCCTGTTGACTCGGCACCAAGTAATTATACATCAAATGCCATTTTACTGGGAAAATGCTCTTTTCATCACCGAGAAAAAAAAACACAAAACAAAATAGGGCTCGAAATTGGATGCTCTTTGTAATTGGATTCAATTGAATTGATTTTGTTGAACGTCGTTCAATTAAACATCGAATTTTGATACTGCAGCATGGTAAGCACTTGCAATCAATTCAATTCAATTGAACAAGATTGTTCAGACGATGAAAGAGTTTCAGGCTTATTTAATTGAAAATAAAGTGGTAACTAATTTTGGATATACAATCATTAAAAATGCCTTGAGTTCGACGTTGAATTCGTCTAGAGAAATTTAAATAATGGGGTTCCACACATAGATACGAACGGATCGGGGGGATCACTTGTTCACTCAGCCAAAAGAAATTAGCAACACATCAAAGTATTATTGATTGATGTTTTGCATTAAGCAACAAATTTATATAAAGAGAATGAACAGAAGACGCTATATTCTATAAGTCCGATATTGATTGCGGTATAGGTATAACTGTTAATATTCTAAAACGCTCAATGTGTTTAAATAATTTAATTTAAATTTCGTCGAAATCTCGAATTGATAAGTATACAAACGTCGAGAAAATGCTTAAAAGAATCAAACGGAAATTGGTCATTAGAAAGGAAGACGAAGATAATGTGTGAAAATGAGAAATTGAACGAGAAGATAAATATGTCAACATGTAACGAAAATGAGTGACAAAATGGAATGGGAGAACGGTTGAGCATTGTAATCGTTTCGAAATTAAATGGTTGAACGCAAGACTTGTCTAAAAAAATATGTTTCATCCCTTCCGCATCTCGTACGTACTTAATCACCTTACGGTTTTTTTTTCCTGCTCGTTCCCTACCTTGTGCGAGCGAACGGAGTGAAGTACCACACTTCATATCGAAATGATGGTAACATTTAGCCCAAATGCAGTGTGGCGACGATAGCAGCGACGGCTATGGTGGTGGTGATGGTGGTGATGGCTGTTACAACGGCTAGTATACCAAAGTCAAAGAGTTTCTTTAGCGCTAATTTGCTTGGGAATTTTGTGACTTGATGATACGATGCTAATAAATCGTCGTGCCGTTGTGTTTGGTCTGGTTTGCACCGAATTAATTGTGTTCACCAAAGATTTCCGATTATTCAATTTAAGTGAACGTGATGTGCGCGCAAGCGAGCGAGCGGACATTTGGTTCGTTGTGCAAAAACCAACGAAAAGGGCACACGGTGTGGTGCGGTAAAAAGTGAACGAAAGTGAGATAGAGAGGTAATCTTCATGAAATATAGATTACAACGTTTAATGATACTGCTTTATGGAGGAATAAGACATTGCCCATTGTGAGTGCGCGAAACAGCGCTGTCAAATCAATTTTAAATATAATCAACCACTCATTCTATAAAAGCGACGAGATGCCGCTTTCAAAAACAAAAGCACACAAACACACACATACACGCGCTCGCGCCAGAAAAATACCATCTATCTATCAATAGATGTATACGTATAAAACATGTACCGTTCACGTGCTTCGAATTTCCCTTTTTTTCGATTTGTTTCGCTTCGTTTTAAAGACAATCGAATTTGTTCACTCGCGCTACATCGTCTCTCATTGTGCTCCTTTAAAGGATGAACGTGAAAATAAAACGTAGCGGTCTTATTGGAAAACGCTACAGTATCTTATTCTTATCCTTATCCCTTTTGTCTTTTTTCCAGCGCGTTTCGCTCGGTGTTGTGTGTTTGTGTGTTTTTTTCGCTTTTCTTTTCATTCCTTTTGCTTTGTGCTTATTTCGTAGCGTCACGTTTACAATCGCTGCATTACATTGTACAATCTGTTTCGGGTGGATTTCGCAACGGGATTACGATTTGCTGTGAAATCCATGTTGACACACACACACACACAGCTCCCACTTCCCTATCATCTTTAAGCATCTCTTATTCGTACGCACTATCTCATTTCACGTCTCTTCCATTTTCTCTCTCTCTCTCTCTCTCTCCCGTCCCAAACGAAATTAGACAATTTTATTCCACATCGCTTAATATTTTTCCATATTTTCTACAAGCCAAGTATCTACCTCTACCTATATACCGGAATGGAACTGCGAACTTATTAGAAAATTAACCTCTCGACTTTCTGTTGCATATGTGTCTGCATGTACACACACCAATCCAACCAAACCCAACCAGCCGCCCTCGATCACCCTTCATCGTAATAGAGTTCCAGAGAAAGAATATGTCGCTCCATTACGAGCTCACTGCCAACACCACCACCAACACCCTCTCAAATTGCTTGAGACAATCAATTCGAAGCTAAGCAGCGAATAATACGACTGTATTTATGGTGACTTGAAGGGTAAATGCAGGTATTGTGTCGGTAGTTTAAATGTTGAATTAATATTCATATAAAATGGTAGATTCATTGAAAGCCACTGCAACATTTCGGTGCCTGGGATATTAAAGTGATTTATATTAGACACGCTTTTTTATACACATAATTTTCCAAACGCACACACACATACACAAACATCTCCCTTCATCTGGGAATTGTGAGAGGAATGTGTGTGAGTTAAGGTACAAATGGCTTACACCTTACACTCATCGTCATCGTCGTCGTCGACTGTTCATTGTGGCACAAAACACGAGGCTCCATTGAATCGCTTTGTGTCAAACAAATGAGAGGAACACATCCTACCGAAATAATGAAATAGCTATGTTTTTCACATTTTTCGGGTGTGAGCAATGGCGCTTTTATTTAGGGAATTTTTCAATTTTGATGCAAATATGCTATAGCAAAACGTAAAAACGCTATGAAACACTCTTAATATCATCTCAAAGAGTAAAATCTTCGCATTTTCCCGAACTGAATTTAAATCAGTTGTTGTTTCACTCAACAGGAGCGTTTTTTCTTTCAATTTTAAGACGAAAATCCCAAACATACATGTATAAACGGGGTGAAATAGAAAAGTTCCACAGTCTGATTTCAATAGAGTGTTCTCGAAAGAGACTAATAAAATTATGAATGTTTAGAGTTCTGAAATTATAGCAATTTTGGGTGAGAATATTTTGTAGATTGGTTTTTCGAGCGAGATTTGAGTGGAAAACTCACACAAGTCCGGGCAAGAGTATTGTAATTGAAAATGTAATATCAAACACCTTTGAAAAATATTGCCGGGCATCCGAATGCAGTGATACTTTCAAAAGTGCAGATATCATTATTGATGGTTGTAATTTTCACTTTTAAAACCATTTAATTTAATGTGTTCAGTCTATCTCAAATCTATTTATATGTAGCGTGCTCAAGCATTAGGCATACAATTGCATTTGAGACCATCTATATATGCGATACATGTGGTGAAATAATTCAATTTAAATTCAAATGATATTATAGTTTTCTACGTACCATAGTCGCATTAGTGCATTTCGAAATTTGAGCTGAAAGGAAACTGAAAAATCGATGGGAAAATATCACTTGGTGAAGTGTGCAGTCATTTGAGCCATGGGTAAATAGAAAAAGCATAATTTTTCACCCAAACATACCGTTGCCACGCAGATATTCGCACACAAATCGACAGGCGAATGAAAACTAACAACAATTCAATCGCAACATTTGTACAAATGTATGGCATTGCGCGAAACGCAAACAACGTATACACCCAAATAAGTTCGAAACATTGAAAAGGAAATATTTTGCGGTAGCATCGTATTTTTGGAATCGGACACGGCATCGGAATGTGTTTTTGTTATGCATTCTGCATTTGGGGTTAATTACGGTATATTGAGATTTTAAAAAAATGCGCACGATTTGGCTGGTTTGGTGCATATCATAAAATCGGTCATCGGTGCATCCGTGGATGTTTGTGGCATATTATTTTGTGGAAAGGTCAATTTT